CCCCCCCCTCTTTCTCCCCCTCATCCTTTTCCTCATGCTCCCCCGCCTCCTCCTCCTCGACCAACTTTCACTTCAACCACCTCCTCCCGCCGCCGCCGTGGTTGAAACCTCCCCCCCCGCTCGCTCCTCTTCCTCCTCTTCCTCCTTTTCCTGCTCCTCCTTCTCCTCTTTCTCCTCCTCCTTTTCCTCCTCCTCGTCCTCCTCTTCGTCATCCACCTCCTCCTGGTCCCCCCCTCCTCCTCCCCCTGCTCCTCCTCCTCCTCCTCCTCCTCCTCCTCCTCCTCCTCCTCCTCCTCCTCCTCCTCCCCTCCTCCTCCTCCTCCTCCTACTACTCCTAGTCCTCCTCCTCCTCGTCCTCCTCCTCCTTTTCCTCCTCGTCCTCCTCATCCTCACGTCTCCTCCTCCTCCTCCTCCTCCTCCTCCTCCTCCGCCTTGAGCAGCGTCCACTTCAACTGCGTGTTCCTGATGGCACCGTGGTTGAAATTCCCGCCTCCCCCTCCTCTTTATCATCCTCCTCCTCCGCCTCCTCCTCCTCCTTCTCCTAAACTTCCTACTCGTCCTCCTCCTCCGCGCGAGCGGGCTTGCAAGGAATGCCCCTAAGGGTCATTCCGCGCGAGCGGGTTCGCTGGTGCCGATAGCCGTTGGAATTCCAACCCTTAGGCGGGACCCCCTAGGGGCCACAGGGGAGATCATGCTGTGTGTGTGTGTGTGACTGGGTGTGCGTGCGTGTGCGTGGCCAAAGCGGCCGTCCAGAGAAAACAAGAACCCCACTTAGGATGAGAAGATTTAGTACCAGTAGTAGTAGTAGTAGTAGTAGTAGTAGTAGTAGTAGTAGTAGTAGTAGTAGTAGTAGTAGTAGTAGTAGTAGTAGTAGTAGTGTAGTAGTAGTAACAGTAGTAGTAGTAGTAGTAGTAGTAGTAGTACTAGTAGTTGTAGAAGAAGAAGAAGAAGTAGTCGTAGTAGTAGTAGTAGTATAGTAGTAGTAGTAGTAGTAGTAGTAGTAGTAGTAGTGGTGTGGTGGTGGTGGTGGTGGTATAGTAGTAGTAGTAGTAGTAGTAGTAGTAGTAGTATAGTAGTAGTAGTAGTAGTAGTAGTAGTAGTTGTAGGTGTAGTGTTAGTAGTATAGTAGTAGTAGTAGTAGTAGTAGTAGTAGTAGTAGTAGTAGCAGTAGCAGTAGCAGTAACAGTAGCAGTAGCAGTAGTAGTAGGATTAGAAATCGCAGTTATATCGAGAACTCATACGTGGTAGCGAAATGACGATTTTCAATAATATCACGCCGACGCGACGATTTTCATGGGATGTGAGTGGGCCCGACTTTAATCGCGCCTGAAGAGTGTTGGGGGATCCGGTGGATCCGGTGGATCTGCCGACGAATCCCAAACCGGCGCCCTCGCTTAAGACATCCTCACAAAACCGGCCCCGGGGGAGGTGCCCAGAGGAGCCCAGAGCGGCCTCCGGCACCGTTTCCGGACAGATCCGGTGGATCCGCCGACGAATCCCAAACCGGCGCCCTCGCTTGAGACATCCTCACAAAACCGGCCCCGGGGGAGGTGCCCAGAGGAGCCCAGAGCGGCCTCCGGCACCGTTTCCGAACAGATCCGGTGGATCCGCCGACGAATCCCAAACCGGCGCCCTCGCTTGAGACATCCTCACACAACCGGCCCCGGGGGAGGTGCCCACTTGAATGACCGCTGGGTTTGCTATCTGGATAGGTGTTTCGTAAGATGGATAGGTGGTTCTTAGTCGTTTACATAACCACTTAGGAAGTGGTTCGGAATCGAGCGAAACAGGTTAGCTAACCTAGTTTAGCTAACCTGTTTAGGGGTCGCCGTAAACAGGTTAGCTAACCTGTTTATGGGGCCCCCATGAGGCCCCTTCCAAGACCACCAGAGAGGCCATCTGAGGCCCTTTTCCCAGACTCCCAGAGAAGCCCCCTGAGGCCCATTCCCAGACCCCGAGGCCTCTGAGGCCCCTTCCCAGACCCCCAGAGAGGGACAGCGGCGGCGGCGACAACCTCGACGACGACGAAAACGCAGACGACACCGTCCCTCTCTCCGTGCCGTGCCGCTGCTGCTTCACCCTCTGAACGCCTCCGCGCAGAAGCAGGCCAGGACTGCCCGCCACGGGGGGGTGGACGGAAAGGAGGTGGTGGTGGCAATCTATGTTTGTTTCTCCATCATCTTAGCAGTGCTAAGTCCCACATCGTCTGTGATAAACTCACAGCCCAGCCCTCTTGCGAAGCTTTGGAGGGAAAATAATCTGTGACGTCTCCCCGACAGAAACGGGGAAAAAAATACAGGATTCGATGATGCAGGATGCTGGCATCATCTGAATGTTATCGCACTTCACACACTTCGCAACGTTACCTACGACATCAGCTTTCCTCCAGACAGATACCAGAGACTTCACTTATGGTTGAAACGTCAGGCTGAAAAAGCAAGCAACCTCACCGAAGTAGATCGATCCGCCGCACTCGAATGCTACAACATCACCTACTTGAACACCCCTACACTTTACGAAAGCTTTCCCACTGACCTTCAGGCTCTCTTGGGGCAACATACCTACGAATGGCTCTAACATCGAACGCACTGGCTTGCTCGGCACTTTGGGCTCATCGAGCTCAGGGCGAAGCAGCTGGCGATTCTCAAGCTCCCACAAGTGAAACGACGTTATCTCTTCGAGCATGCCTTTTTCAAACGAGACTGTGTTCCTCCTACCCTGCGCCATGCGCTTGAAAACACGATGTTTCCGCTCTTGCAGGAAAGTCGTTAGAAGGCAGTGCTGCCTCTCAAGTTGGGCTGGCAAGTGGGTCCCGAAGTGGTCCTTTGGGACCCAGAGCTCGGATGTATATGCAATCTTACGGAGATGGAAATGGGAACGACTTGCATCGAGGAGTTCGGTGGGGGTTACCGCTCCACTGTTGGAAATCAGCAACAAACCCACAACGCGGCACAGCGCAATGCAGCTCGCAACCTCATCTTGAAGCACGCCCGCCTTCGCCACTACATCCACGACGAACTTTTCAAGGACAGGCGCGAACGACACCATCTCAGAAGCACTACCTGACAGCTTTCCCTTGTGCAGAGCATTGGCCCCGCTCGCGTAGGACTTAGGCCAGCTCCACTGCTTAACATATTCGGTCAGCGCCGCGACGCCGAGCTTGTGATCACTAAGCCGCTCCAGGAAGCACCATACTTCATTCGTAAACGTCCCCCCGATCATGTAACAATGCATCCAATCCCAAGCGAATACAGTTACCAACGGGATGTCTAGTTCAGGACATTGCAGTAATGATTGCGGCACGTAGTTAAAGCCGAAGAGCATTTCCATCCTCTCGAGCTCCTTTTTGGTGGAGTTCACGCTGAGGTCACGGAGCCTCTGCTGCACAGCTTTGACGGACGCGTCAGTGTGCAAGTCGAATCGTGTGATGTCTATCTCATGCACGGGTACGAGGTAGCCCGTGGGGTCGGGCAGGAGGTTGGACCTTGCCATGATGACATTCTTGCAAAGGAGGCAGGGTTTGATACCCCCTGCCCCCTTTGCCGCCGTGACGAATTTATGTTCCCGCTCATCTTGGATGAGCACTTTCAGAGACCCGCGAACGAAGTGGGGCTGGCCATTGATGATCATTGTGACCCCATGGCGGAGATCAGCACCACTCTGACCACCGAAAAAATATGATAGAACCCGTCGCATCACATAAGATATGCCACCAGCGATGTTCTCCACCAGTGACGATCGCACAACTGACAAAGTGAACCAGGCAGTTTCGTTTGATAAAATGGGCCAATCGAACTCGCGCAGCGACCAATATATTGCATGTGCCTTTCGCTCCTGGCGGGAAGCGAGAACATTGCCTGGAACGATCTCGTCCGAATACACGAGCACAGACAGCACACCACCACTCTTCTCCAGACGATCCAACAGTAGTGCTTGGAACTCTGAAGACGAACGGCATGCAACCTCCAGGAAGCCCAGCGGGCTTTGGACCCAGATGTCGATAGGGGTGCCATCCACGTCGATGGTAGAAGACTGCAGTAGTGGACCGAAGCTCGTAGTCTGTTGGCACAGTGCAGCCCTGTGTCTAGCTTGGGTCTGCCTTGACCAAGCTTCTGGCAGACCTTCAACGCTCACCTCATCAAGAAGCGCCGCCAGTGCTGATGCGGTCACATGCGATTTCTTGCCGAAGGAAGTGAGTCTAGGCTTTTTCGCGGCGACCGCCATGGTCGCAGAGAGAACTATTGAGCCAAAACGGCTATATACACTGGAGGAGGGGAATAACGTTGTGGAGGAGGGATGACAGGAGGAACCGATTTGCTATTTCTACGGTGTGATGCTTGTTTTGCTGTGCTCGGACCTTCGTCCCCACGACTTGATTCGCGTCGGCAAAATGGTCAGAACGCTGAGCGTTGTTGTCCCCGTGGGATAGCATCTCTTCTCCACCTCCTTCCTTCTCCTCCTCCTTCTCTGCCTCCTCCTCCTCCTCCTCCTCTTCCTCCTCCTCCTCCTCCTTCTCCTCTCCGCCTCCCCCTCCTCCGTTCCCTCATCATTCAACCTCTCCCCCTCTTCCTCCTCCTCCTCCTCCTCCTCCTCATTTTCCTTCTTTTAGATTTCCCTTGTGTGTTTCAGCTGCCTCTCGAAGGCACGGTTTCGTTCCCTGTCGTTTTGGGGGGGGGGGGGGGAGGGGGCTTGGGTTTGGGAGAATTTTGAGCAGTTTCGTTTGGTTTTTCTGCCGACTTTCGGGTTCCAGTGTCGGGGGGATGTTTTCTTGTATGGGTTTGTTGGGGTGGCACTTGGCATAGTCTGTTTTCTCTCACTGACTGCCTTGGGAAACTGCGTGGTAGCGGAGCGATAGACCGCGACGAGAAACTGTGAGCTCCTGAAGCCCGCTTGCAAACCATGGACGTCGCATTCGCGATGCTCCCCGATATACGCTATTGCAACTGGTATGCGCGGGCAGGCTAGCAGGCTGGTGTACATTGGAATAGTGCCTACTCGCCTCAGGATGGCCTCCGATAGTAATCGTAAACAGCCGATGCCATCTGGTACGCTTGCTTGGCGCACTCTCCGACCTGCTTCACGGTGAGCTTAGCATTCGCTGCACGGGTCTTGGCCGCGCCATAGGCCCTGCTGGCGTATGCATTTTTCGACCTCGTGCCGATCTCTGCTGGGTCGGTCACGTCCTTCAGGCTGATCGCGGCGCCGCCGATCTTGATGACGCCTCAGGGGATTGCACGGGCAGAGGAGCAAGACTCCCGTCGTCCCTTCTCCCTCCTCCTCCTCCTCCTCCTCCTGATCCTCCTTCTCCTCCTCCTCCTCCTCCTCCTCCTCCTCCTCATCCCTCACCTCCTCCTCCCACGGAGCGCCTGAGACGCCGCAGGGCTTCGGGGCGACGGCAGGGGCAGGCGCGGCCTTGGGCTTGGCCTTGCCCTTGGCCTTGGCCTTGCCCTTGGCCTTGGCCTTGCCCTTGGCCTTGCCCGCGCCCTCGCCCCTGTCAGCAGCCTTCGTAGCGGCAGACCTGCCGCTCCTCGGTGGCCTGAGGTGGCTGCCAGCTGCTTCAGCCGACGCGTTGAGCCTTTGCTCCAGCTCCTGCGCGGGGCCCATGGCCGCCTCAGGCTCCTCCGCTGCATCGGGCGCTGCAGGTGGGTGCACAGGCGTTGGCACCAAGGCCCCAGACTGAGAGGATCCCGATGGCGAAGTGCGTGGAGAAGGCTGGGGAGTGCCAACCGACCCTTGCGAGTCCTGGTTGCCAGCGCCGCCCAGTGCCAAGGTCGCTGCGCTGAGAGTCCCGTGGCTGCTCGCGCCATCATCTGCCCTGCGAGGCCTATCGAAGATCTGAATGCCTGCGTCGGTGGGGGCGCTGAAGGTGCTCGGGGCGCCCATGGTGCCCATCACCGAACTGAACTGCTTGGCCATCTCCAGCATCTGGTGGAACTGCTGGAACATGCCAGGCACACTGCCCATCGGGCCCATCATGCCAGCGCTGCCTGCTGGGGCGAGCGCGTGCGAAGCTTGTGGTGCCGCAGGGTTTGGCTTGAACGAGTTGTGGGTGTTCCTGTACCCCCTCGCATGAGTGAGCTGCTCGAGCCGCGTGAGGTCGAGGTCGGACGGGGGATTCACGGGCTGGCCGTCTTCGTAGGCGAATGCCCAGGCAGCTGCATCCAGGCCGTCAGGGCCAGGCGGGTAAAGGATGATGTGAGTACCTGGAAACTTTGGCCTGATGCGATCGAACGTCTTGATCTCTGACTGCAACTCGTGGCACCACCTCTTGAAGATGCTCGCGTCGATCGAGGATTTCTCCTCCTCGCACAGGCCAACTTCGGTCAGGATGTTGATGCCGCGGACCAGCATCTTCTCGCCAGGACAAGACGCACCGATGCAATAGTACCTGTTCGCCATGATCTTTATCTTGGCGACAATGCTTGTGCCGCGATCGGAGAACTGCACCCAGTCGGCCTCAGTGAAGTAATTCTGCAGGGTAGGGTTCTTCTGTTGCCCACGTGGGCCGCTCTGCGTACCAGGCGTGATGATGGAGTCCCCAAGCACTTGGGCGAGCGACGCAACCTGGGTAGCAGTCCACGGGCCGCGATTCAGCTCCTGAGTCAATGCCGTGGCGGCGTCGTGCGTCATGGAGCGAACGGACCGAAAGTAGTTCGCCAGCGACCTGGTCTGGGTGTCCAACAAGGCTGGCCCAGGTACTCCAGCTGCGACCTGGGCGTTGATGAATGCTGCCCGCTGCCTCACGGCAGTCAGCATCGAATCGAGACTGACCGAAGCCATCGTTGGTGTCGGTAGTCAGTCGCAGGCGGTGCGAACGCAAGTCGGTATAGGCAAACTGGCTTGAGCCAAAGTGGCTGCGGAGGAAGGGGGGAAAAAGGAGGAGGAGGGGGAGGAGGAGCGCAAGGAGGAGCAGGAGGAGCAGCAGCAGCAGCAGCAGCAGCAGCAGCACCAGGAGAAGCAGGAGGAGCAGGAGGAGGAGGAGCAGCAGCAGGAGGAGGAGGAGGGAGGGAGGAGGAGCAGGAGGAACAGCAGGAGGAGGAGGAGGAGGAGCAGCAGCAGGAAGATAGTGTGAGGGGACGCATGCAGTCAGTCGTTCAGAGGCTTGCCCTAGGACTGCGAATGGTGCAGGTATTAGCTAGCTTCTCGACCTCATACCCAAATCTCATCGTATCAAGTCTAGCACCCCTGGCATCCACGGGGTTTATTTTGTGACATCAACTTGGGGAAACTCACCCCCCTCCTCCTCCTCCTCATCCTCCTCCTCCTCCTCCTCCCCCTCGTCCTCCTCCTCCTCATCCTCCTCAGTTTCCTCCTCATCATCCTCCTTCTCCCCTCAATATCCACCCACTCGTTCTCCTATCTCTCCTTCTCGGCCTCCTCATTCGCATCGCCCATACTCCCTCGCCCCCCCCCCTCCGCCTCCTCATCCCTGCCCCCCCCCTTCCTCGTCCTCAGCCCCATCCTCAGCCCCCTCATGCCAGAGGGGAGCTAGATGAGCACTTGGGGATGGGCAAGTTCTGGGAAAAAAGCTGCGAAATCTGATCTGACGGGGCTGCCCGAGCTACCGACCCCCAGGGATCGCTCCCTCCAGCAGGCAAGCCGCCCCCCCACACCCCCTGGCGAGGCCGGCGGAGCCCACCGCTCGGGGGGGCCGAGTCTCCATGAGCTCAACCCTGAGGAGGGTCGAGCTCATTTGAGCTCAACCCTCAGGAGGGTCGAGCTCATCGGGATAGTAAGGATTTCCATTAGATCCCATGAGCTCGACCCTCCTGAGGGTTGAGCTCAAATGAGCTCGACCCTCCTCAGGGTTGAGCTCATATGCGCTCGACCCTCCTCAGGGTTGAGCTCATCTGAACAGATTAGGCACCTTCTGTGAGAACAGAGCTCGCGGTGCTGTGTTTTGCCCTCACCACACCACGTGCACAGGACAGAAATCAAGCTAGCGATATGCATCCGACGTCCCGTCGATTACAAATTCAGAGGTCACTATCCTGAGAACGGCTGGCTCGGGAATGTGAACAGCAGCATGCACTCACGACAGTTGCACGGGCGCGCACCCCGCACGGCACCTAAGCATGTCCCCGATATGCAGTGTCATGCAGCTACCACGGATCAACACAACGAGTACATACACATTCACAGCCTAGCCAAAACCATGCATAACGGCGTGCGGAGCACACCTATATGAGAGCGCGTGACCTACGCACGCACAGCGCACCATCAGCCTATGCCGAGTGGTGCTCATTGTAAAAGACCTGCAGCACACGCGAAACCTTATCACATTGTGTCTGAATAGCCTCATCAGTCTCACCCTTGACAGCCATGGTTTTACTGTACCATTTCTCGGAGGCAGCGTCATAATATCGAATGTTGCAAGCAGAGCGATACGCCAACCACGAAACATTAGGTTCATTGATGGTAGGAACATACACTTCCTGTGCGTCGGTTGCACGAGCTTTGAGTCGGATCAAGTCTATATTGTACGGTGTGAGCTCCATGATAAGCTTAGTCCTCCCATACGCTGCTGTAAACACGCGCAATGAGTGTGATTTGCCATCATTGTCCTGGACTGTCACAGTCACACACCCTGCAGAAACATTGGAGATGAGATGCGAAGGCCACAGTGGATGCAGGTGAGGAGGGCGGGATGGATGAAGGGAACAAGTTGGATCAGGAGGATGAGTTGGAGACGTGGCATTGTGAGGAGGGTTCGTGGCCTTCGATCTCATCAGCCGCATGTTTCTTGGCCCTCTTGAGCGCAGGGCCCTCCGAGTCACCCCCTTCACCAGCAGGATCGACGTTATCCTCATTGTCCTTCGCAACCATCAGCTTGAGGCTAACCTCGTTCCGACAGCGCTTAATCTCGTCAATCATCCCGAAACCATTTGTGAGAAATTTTTGCAATCTCGAATCCTGCCTGTCTAGCTCAATCCATTTGGAGTCGTGTGCTTCTATCACAACAACAACCCACGACGTTGCCAATGATGGCTGTTCCTGGTCAGAAATCAGAACAATGTTTTCGTGAATTGTTGCCATTGTCAGTGCTAAGTATTGGCTCAAGGATTGAAACCTAGGCGCGAGCTTGAGCCCAAATGGCTACGACAGGCAGGGGACATCGGCAACACAATCATCAGTTTGGGGTGTTGAATTAGGGGAGGGTGGGCTCTTGAACGTGCTTGGGGGGCTTGCGTGACACGCCCTCTTTAGCTCGACGTGGGGGCATGCGATTCAGTTCACTACCTGTTGAGATTTAACGTTTCTGACGGGGATCGTATCGTTGCTCTCTCTCGTTTGCTTCCCTCCTCTCTTGCCGCATCACCCTTCCCCTTCCTCCTCCCCCTCCTCCCCCTCCTCCTCCTTCTCCTCCTTCTCGTCCTCCTCCTCCTCCCCCTCCTACCTCCTGGAGCTCACCCTGGAGATTTTTGGAGGCGTCATGAAGGATTCCTAGAGGCGTCATGGCCCCCTCCTCTCCCCTCGACCTGCCACTATCCTCTCGAGTGTTGCTCCTTCGAGCCATCCTGGTGTCTCTCGATGCGGCGTTCAGCTGCACTCGGCTGTCTGGCAAACGGTGTGTACATGATATCTGAACTCAGGCGCTGACTAGTCCGACGAGCCGCGCATTACCACGAACCCTGGCCAAGATCGCACCACCTACCTAAGTACACGCAGCTCAACGGGTCGCGACTGATCGCTGTTCGGAGCACGTGTGAAGACCGTGCGTTGTGCCGAACGTGGTAGGAGAGACCACGCGAAGCACGCGCGACGTTGGGAAGCAACTGAAACGTCCTCTGAGCAGCGCTCCTCCGAGCCGCTATAGCCCAGGGATCTTACGAATGGGAAATCGTGACTAGTGCCATGCTGCAAAATGATGCCCGATTCCCTCCCTACAGAATTAGCTGTTATGTGATTGGTTACCTCCCCCTCGCTCGGCGCACCACATGGCTACCTAAGGAAAAAAAAGGCTTGCGTCCTTCAGTCGCGAGCAGACGGTGGCACTTCATGAGTGCTTCTGTTTCTTCGAGCTCCCTGCGGCCGAGCTGGCAGACGCGTCTCTCTTGGACGAGTCAGCTGACTTGTAAAGGTTCTCGCCTTCCTTGATGGCTTTAGTGTTAAAGAGGGCAGGGACGCTGAATTCTTTGTTGCTGGACTTGCCCCTGCCCATAATCTCGACAGGCTGCCAGCGAATCGAAAGAGCACAAAGGGACATGTTCGCTGGGTGGCTCTCTGTAGCCACGGGGGCGCACCAGAATGGCACAACGAACGATTTAGTAGTCTCATCTGGTCCACCTAATTTCACTGACGTGGCCGCATACGGCATGACATAACAATACATCTGTTCAGGCAACCCGTCCACGCCACGAAGCTCAACAGCACTAGCGGGCAGCTTTGCAGCGATTCCTACATGCATGCTCAGACCAACTAGGATGAGCTGCCCCTTATCATACGATCTCGTCGCCACTACGGATGGGGGCAAAACTTTCGCCCCAGTCTGAAACATGACGCGAACCTCAGTTTTAGGTACAAACATAGAGAAGGCAGCAGCGAGGGCCTGCTTGGCGTCGGCCTTGATGAGATCCATCACCCAGTCCTTGTGATCCTGAGCGGCGCGCACTCTCACGACGACCTCCCAAAACAACTAGCTCCTCCTACCTCCTCCTCCTCCTCCTCCTCCTCGGCCTCCTCCTCCTCCTCCTCCTCCTCTTCCTGCTGTTCTATCTCGGTGAGGCAAAATTGATCTATCCATCCCAATCCTCGTCCTCCTCATCATTATCTTGCTGCTGCTCCTCCTTCTTTACCGTCTCATCCTTTATGTTCCGTGTCCTTCCTCCTCCCTCCTACTCGTCCTCCTCCTCTTCTTCTTCCTCCTCCTCCTCCTCTTCCTCCTACCTCCTCCTCCTCCTCCTCCTCCTCCTCCTCCTTCTCCTCCTCCTCCTCCTCCTCCTCCTCCTCCTCCCCCTCCTCCTCCTCCTTCTCATCCTCCTCCCTCCTCCTCCATCCCATCATCCTTCCTCCCTCCCCTTCCCGAGCGCAGCAGTCCTTGGCAGACCACGAATTCGGACCGACGTCCACGATGATGGTGGTCTGCTTCGGCATGGCCTGGCGGCGCCCGCCCACCCCTCAGAAACCGGTGTTTTTTTTGGAAAACCTGTTTTTGGAGGTTTCAACCGTTGGGTTTTCTGTAGTAAGAAATCAGGAATCACAGGCAATCTTCGTCTTGCTCGCTCTCTCCTCCTTCATCCTTTCCTCATCTTCGAATTTCTCACCCTGACACCGAATGGCGAAAACGAATTTGGAAACTGATCTCCTCCTCCTCCTCCTCCTCCTGCCCCTCCCTCTTCCCTTTTCCCTCATCCTTCTTCTCCTCCTCCTCCTTCTCCTCGTCCTGGTCCTTCTTCTCCTCATCTTCCTCCTCCCTCCTCCTCCTCCTCCTCCTCCCTCCTCCTCCTCCTCCTCCTCCTCCTCCTCCTCCTCCTCTTCTTTCTCCTCATCATCTCTCCCTCCTTCTTCTCTCTCGTTTGGCTCAAGAGCGGTGGCCTTGTAGCTGTCCACGAGGACGCCAGTAGCCACCTCGATCTTCTTCTCGGTCATCTTCTTGGGCTTCTTGGGGCCAACCGCCGTCAACTGGGCAACACCGTTGACGATAGACACGATCTTAAATCTCTCAGCCGCTCCCGCAGTGGGCTCCACCTCCGAGCCGACCTCGAAACCCA